GGGCCATGGATTTAGCTCAGTGGCACCATGCCTGCCTCACAAGCGCAAGGTCAGATTTAGCTCAGTGGCACCATGCCTGCCTCACAAGCGCAAGGTCATGAGTTTGATCCCTGGTACCAAAAAAAAAAAAAAAAGCAGATGTCAGGCATGGTAGTGCACATCCTAACACTTGGGAGGCTGAGGCAGGAGGATTGCTACAAGTTTGAGGCCAGTCTGGACTAGAGTAAGTTCAAGGACAGCCTGAACTACATAGTGAGACACTGTCTCAAAAAATAAACAATGCAGATGTCAGCTTCTGTCCCAGTCCTGCACTGTCATATTCTTCAATGGTTAGGCCCATGTCTTCTGGCTCCCCAGGTTAATTTTAGAGCTGCATATCAGTGTCTGAAAACCACTGGTTGGCATCTGCCTACCAGGTGCAGAAATCTTCCTTAAGCATAGTTCTTCTTTCTTGGAATGAGGACACCAGGTCAAACGACAGGGGCTAGACCTGCTGAAGATAAATTGTGTGGTCATGTGGTTCCCCTAACTCACCTGCAACTTAACAGGCCTTTTGACTCTCTTTATAGGAGCTGGAGAAACTGGCTTCTCGAAAGTTGAGAATAAATGCTAAAGAAACTATGAGAATTGCTGAAAAGCTCTACACTCAAGGGTAAATATTCTCTCAATACTTGAGATTATGCATGCTAGGCAAACACTATCACTGAGCTACACCCCAGTTCAAAATCCTACTCTTGACCCCTTAGCGACTCTCCCTAGGGCCCTGGCAAGAGACAACCCTTTACAAAATCACTCACCTACTTGGCCATCATAAGTACCTTAGCACTGAGCTTCCCCAACTGTGGTGTCCATCATGTGACTGTTGAGCACTTGAAATTTCAGTTGTCCTAATTAAAATGTATTATAAGTATAAAATATACACTGGATTTTAAAGACTTACGTGAAAATAAGATGGAAAATATATCAATATTTTTTTTCTCTTTTTTTGTAGGACTAGGGACCAAATCCAGGGCCTCACACATTCTAGACCAGTGCTCTGCTACTAAGCTATCTCAATAATTTTTTTTTTTAATACTAGGAATTGATCCCCAGCCCCATATTTTTTATTTTGAGAAAGGGTCTTGCTAAGTTGCCCAGCCTGCCCTCAAATTTCCCAGAATACTGGGATTACAGGCATGTACCACCATACCCAGCTTCAATAATTTTTTTTCATTAAGTTTATTGGTCTGGGGATTTAGTTCAGTGGTGCCACTGCCTACCTCGAAAGTGCAAGGTCCTGAGTTCAATCCCCGGTACCAAAAAAAAAAAAGTTTATTGGTACATTTTAGGTATACAGTTACGTTCATCATTGGGATCTTGTACCTGTACATGATGTATCTTGGTTCTTATTTTTTCCCCATTCCCCTGCCCTCCCTTCACTCCCTCCACCC